CCGGCAGCAGCAGGCGGGGAACGTTGGAGTCCTCCTTCACTGAAGCAAGCAAGCCTCCCTGTTCGCTTCAAGCAGCCTGGCTGCCGGCCGCCATCTTGGCTGGCAGTTAATTTGCATATCTCACTGATTAGCCAATGGGAAGGGTAGCGGCCGTACGGCTAATTACCATGTTTCTCTTTTATTAGATAGGATATAGATTATAAGTTCCTTAGGTTCATGAACAATAATTACTTATATTTGTTAATATAATTATTTATAAACCCTGGCTAAGTGCATTGCTCACAATAGGTGCTCATATTTATTCTATGTGTGGAATTGAATTCTATAACTACAATAGAAGGAGCTCAAACTTGGTTTTGCTCAGCTAGCTAGAAATGGTAAATGCTCCCTTAATCAGAAGTAATATAATCAAAGCAATTGATTAAGGTGTACAGAGAAATATTGGTAATATATTTTTTAAATATATTTTATTGATTTCAGAGAGGAAGGGAGAGATAGAAATATCAATGATGAGAGAGAATCATTGATTGGCTGCCTCCTGCCTGCCCCCTACTGGGCACCGAGCTCACAACCCCAGCATGTACCCTTGACTGGAATCGAACCAGGGACCCTTCAGTCCACTGAACCAAACTGGCTAGGGCTCTCTGTAATATTTTTTAACACAGTTGCCATTCTCAAATTTTTGGTTGGGCTGTAAGTGGTATTTGGGGGCCCAAAGCCTCTATAGGGATATACTGCAAGAAATGGCCTAATTGTCTTCTCTTTTTATCTCTCACCCTCCTCAGGAGCCTGTGTGTGGTTAATAAAAGTATTAGGTAGCCCCAAATGCACAAGAGTCACATTTGCCTTTCCTTGTCTTGCCAATACAGAATTCCTAGAGACCGGGAGCAGATGGTGTATACTTTGTGGACATATGATGGTTACCACTGCTCATTGTATAAAGTAACTCCTATTCTAGAGGCCTGGTAAATGCATCTGAATGTTTTAGGGTCTGTTATCTTGGACACCCACTCTCATGTCCAGTGTTTCCTGTTTTTAGTATCAGACAAAAACAGTTCATTGTAGTTTAAATCTATTTTTTATTAGTGCCCTTTTACTAATCTGCTTTCTGTTTCCTTCTTAGTGTGCCCCTCCTTGACTCTGGTTTATAAGATTATTGCTTTACCTGTATTGTGCAAGGTCAAAGAAACAATAGGTTCTCTGTTGATGTTTGCTGAAGAAAAGATATAACCTGGTGATCCTACTATGTTACTCTGCCCAGAAAGTAGAAGTTACCTCTGAAAGCCACCATGGACTCATTGTTTTCTAAAATTAGTTTTCTTTGTGTGTTTGTTTGTTCGTTTTGTTCATCTGTTTTAGGCCAGTTTTGTTAGAGAAAGCACAAATTGTAGTCTGGAATGAAAACTGTGATGGATGAAATTATGGTAGTCACAACCTTTTTTCTTCTCTTCCTATAGTTTTAGCAATGGAAATGCCTGCATACTATCCTTCCATTGCTCTAAAGGCCTTGAAAAGGGCTTTATTGCTCCACAAAAGGAAAGAATCATTTGATGTTTTCAAATACAGGTTAGTAATTGTATTTCAATGCTGTATCCAGGCTTTTTGATAGCCAAAAGAGCTATAGTCAGTGCTACGTAAGTCATCAATCATACTCAACTGGCCCAAATTAAAAGATTATCAGGGTACTCCTGTAACTCCTGAACTAAAAAAGTCTTCAGAACAGCTCCATATTCAGGGTTGTATTATATATAGACCAAGACTTAATTAGCTAAATCAAGGAGTCTGGTTTTCCCTACGGTGAAAAAGAGGGGGAAAGTTGCTTCTTTGTGTGAGTATGTATATACTAAAATTACTAGGTACCTTTCTTTATTTTGTTACTAAATATGCCAAATGTAGACAGAGATTAATATAACAAACAACTATATTATTAATATAAAAATAACTATATTTTTGTTATTAATATAACAAAAAACTTTCATGTATTTCCCACCAAAGATTAATAAATGTTAACATTTTGCTATATTTGCCTCAGATTTTTTTTCCTAAACACCTTTCTTTAAGGGCCAATGAATGCTGTACCTAATATAACATGCTATTGATTAGAGATTTTGTGGTTTCTATGCCTAGACATGAGGGAAAATAGAAGTTATGAAATATGTGATTTTTCTCTGGAAAACATCATTACAGTCTTCCTTTTCTAAGATTTAAGAGACAGTTCTCTTGGAATTATTTCCAATTTAAATCCTCAATTTTCTTGTTTATTTGAGGATGTAACAAGATGCTTTAAAGTGCTTGTAGATTCAACTAGCTCGTAAAATACAGTAAACAGCCACAAGTCCTTAGTGTAGGAAACTAAACAAAACAAAACAAAACAAAACAAAAAGTGAAAGACAACCATAATAAAAGGAAGGGTTGGTCAGCCCCTTTTATAGCTTCAAAAATCTGTCTTCTGAGGTTGGAGGCCAGGTTAAATTGAGGGAAGAACAAACGTGTTTTGAAGCTTAGTCTGGGATAAAATCCAGATTTTACTTATCTTAGCCATGAAGCCAGTGATTTCTTTTCTTATGGGATGAGTCTTCTCTTTTTGATTTCAGCAACTGTCTGCACAACTTGATTAACCTCTTAGTGCCAGGTGGAGTGCCAAATGCAGAACTCTGTTCCCTGGAAGAAGTTTGGGACTATTTCGAAGATGCGTTGAGCCACACTGTAAGTCAAACAGTAATATTAAACTTTCAGCTAATTTTAAAGTTTTGAACTGTCTTGTGTATTAGGAATTACATAAAATAATGCTTTCTGTTATAAGTTTTAGGGTAAATAAATTCATATTACAATGTAATTACACACTATAAAATTTCCCTGGGTTTATGAAATATAAATAGTTAATGGTAGAAAATTTCTAATATAAGTCACAATAGCAGAACCACCTGGCATTTTGGGTTATATTGTATTTTTAAAATTAAGTAGAATTGTTACTCTTTTATCAAGTTGATTAAATTCTCCCCATTCCTTTTTTTTCCTGAGAGTTTCTATCATAAATTAGTGTTGAATTTTGTCACATAATTTTTCTGCCTTAATTGATATCATTGTGTGATTTTTCTTCTTTAATTTGTTAATATGGTGGATTACATTGACTGATTTTAAATACTGAACCAGTCTTGCATCCTTGGAATAAATCCCATATGGTCATAGTATATAATTCTTTTTACATATTCCTGGATTCTATTTGTCAGTATTTTTGTTAAAGATTTTTCATCTTTATTCATGGGGGATGTTGGTCTATAGTTTTCTTTTCGAGTACTGTCTTTGTCTGGTTTTGGGATGTGTTCCCGCCTTTTCTATATTTTTGGAAAAGATTGTGTAGAATTTATGTTAGTTCTTTTCTAAGTGTTTGGTAGAATTCTCCAGTGAAACTATCTAGTCCTGCAGATTTTTTTCAAGAGTTTTTAAGTTACAAATTAAATTTTCTACTTCATATTGGGTGAGTTGTGCTAACTTATGTTTTGCCATGAAGTGACCCATTTCATCTAAGTTATCAAATTTATATGTATAGACTTATTCATATTTTTCCCATATTATTCCCCCCCTTTGACCCCTCCACCCAAATCCCTCCCTAGGTGTTCACAGCACTATTGTCTGTCCATTGGTTATGCATATATGCATATAAGTTCTTTGGTTAATTTCTTCCCATCACCCCTCCTTCCCTCTGAAACTCATCAGTCTGTTGCATGTTTCAGTGTCTCTGGATCTATATTGTTTGTTAGATTCCACATGTAAGTGAGATCATGTGAAACTTGTCTTTCTCTGACTGACTTAATTTGCTTAGCATAATGCTCTGCAGATCCCTCCATGATGTCCGTAAGGGTGAGCTATCCTTTTTTTAACAGCTGCATAGTATTCCATTGTGTAAATGTACCACATCTTTTTTTATTCACTCATCTACTGATGGGCATTTGGGCTGTTTCCAGAACTTAACTATTGTAAATAGGGCTGCTGTGAACATCAGGGTGCATATATTCTTTCTTATTGATGTTTCAGGATGCTTAGGATATATTCCTAGAAGTGGGATCATTAAATGAAATGGCAGTTTCATTTTTAATGTTTTGAGGAAACTCCATTCTGTTTTCCACAATGGCTGCACCAGTCTGAATTCCCACCAGCAATGTACCAGGGTTCACTTTTCTCCACATCCTCTCAAGTACTTGTCATTTATTGATTTGTTGACAGTAGCCATTCTGGCAAGTGAGAGGTGATACCTCATTGTTTTTTTAATTTGCATCTCTCTAATGATTAGTGACTTTGAGCATTTTTTCATATGTCTCTTGGCCCTCTGTATGTCCACTTTGAAGAAGTGTCTATTTAGGTCCTTTGCCCGGCACCACGTCCTCCTCTCCGCAGCTGTCCAGGCTAAGGTCCTCCATGGAGGCCCCAGACCCCCAGCGTGTGGCCACCACCGGAGGCGGGGGT